GCGGCCTGTAAAAAGTTTCCTCATACAAATACTCTGTTTTTAGAAGAATACCTTGAGTAAATTATTCTCCCTCAGGAGAAAGGGAGATGGTTTTATCAGACAGATTTTTCCTTATATTTTATAGATTTTTTGAATTTCACTAGTCCACTGCTTGTTAACCAGTTACAGACCAAGGCTATTTTTTTACAGCAAGGCAAGAGGATGTATGGGGTTCTTCTAATTTGCTTGCAGGGCTCTATGTGCCCCGTCCACTTGAGCACTCACTGATTTCTGTTAAGAATGTCTGAAGCATTCCATGATCACATTTTTAAACTCTTTGTCTTTGACGTTTCCTGACAGGCCCCTGATCCTCAGATTATTTCTACTGGAGTGATTAGATATATCTTCTACAGTCATCTCCAGGTCATTTAAGCGAGTCAGTAAGCTGTAAATGTAGCAGCACCTGCACTGCTTGGATTTTGGCCATTACCTACCTTGTGGAGGACTCTATCTCTCTGTTGGAGAGATATTTCTGCCATCCACTGAATCGACCAAATCCATTCTAAGGACGCCAATTGGCCCGAACTGTCTGCCTTAGGTGGTGTCTGGTTTGAAGGCCCAGAGGAGAGCTGTGACAGACTGGTTTATGGCTGGATCTGGATGCTTGTGTTGCTGCTTGTAGAATGACATGGAAATCAGCATGTATCAGGCGTCTTCTTATCTCGTGCAAGAATTTGCAAATGTGTGAGTGTGTCTGTCAGTGTGTATGTGTCTGTCAGTGAGTGTTTCTGTGAGTGTGTGAGTGTGTCTGTCATTGTGTATGTGTGTGTTCCAAATCAGTGAGATTATGTGTCTGTTATTGAGAGTGTATGTTAGCCAGTGTATCTGTCAGTGTGTGTGTCTGTCAGTGGGTTTTTCAAATCGGTGAGATTGTGTGTCTGCCCTTGAGAGTGTGTGCATCGGTGTGTTTAAGAAGCATTATTTTATATATCACCATTTCTTTGGCAAATACTTGCTTTTAAAAAAAATCAATGGGTGTCATTTTTCCATATAACGTTTGCTATTGGTGTCTGCTGAGCTGTTTGTCTCTCCTGTGTGCTTTGGACATATTCCATAATAAAAAGATTAATTTCTTGTTTTTAAGAAACATTAATATATATCTCATCATTTATTGTGTAAAGAGCTCTTTTTTACAAATCCAGTGGATGACATGACAGCGCTTTTCCTCTCCATATAATGTTTGCTATAATTTTTCAGCTGAATTTGATTTATGTGTAAGAAGCATTTATTATGTATATATCACCATTTATTGGACTGCATTCAATGTTTCTGTCCAAGTCGGGCAATTAACATGCTTGCCCAAATACAGTCAACAAGCTACTAATATTATCTTTTGGCTGAATGAAAGGTAACTTTCTAATGCGTAAATTGTAAAAGGTGAGGCTGAAGCCTCATGGAGAAGTATAGAGGCAAAAAGCTGGAAATTATTTATTGAAATTTTTAATTGTGTGTACCCTTGTCTGCACAGTTGTTCTCTATTTCTTTCTATGGACTGTCTGACAGACCAAAATGGGCATTAGCAGAGAGGTATGTCTGCCTGAATGGCTGACATTACAGTAATACTGTTGGATAACTACTAATACTACATTATCATGTAGAAATACTGTAATGTAGTGTTATTAACCATGAGAGAGAGGCTGTATCACAATTATCAAGAAAACATTTCAGGTTTCCATTTTCCCAAGGATTTAGTGAGCACAAAAGTTTGGATCGGGAAAAAATTTGCACAAGAGAAACTTTCTGCATACTACAACTAAGAAAAATGAGAGAGAACATTGTATTCAGTGCCATATACAAAGTTATGTGCTTCATGTGTACATTGGAGCTTGGTACACGGTCTTCACGACACATTTCCCAATGGGAGCCCACAGTCTGAAGATAGATGTAATCGAATGAACATTAACTGCACACAAGATATTTTGACAAAACATGAGAAAGGATTGTAGATTATGCTAATGTGGTGTACTTATAAATCTTAATTTTACTGGCAGGAGGCAAATATTTGCATAACTCTCTTTACTGAAACTCCCAGCAGCACAGATCATAAGAGAACAACCAATCAAAAAACACTTCAATGTTATACAAAAGGACCTGTCACACACATCACTTCCTTTTTCTTTGTAGCGAACTAATAAAGGTAAAATTCAAATGTCCGAAATTCCAAACATCAAACAATCGTAATCAACCATAACAATGACCAATTAATCCAAACTGTAGCTGTGGAAATGTCCATAACAGCCGTAGATTGCAGAATAGAAGCAGAAAGCTCCGATCACACTGAAAAGAAACAGAAAGAAGTGAAAGGCATTTGAAGTGACATCTTGTCCATCATAACATAACTACCTATCTACTGCATGAATTAGATGTAAATTAAATATATTACAGTCATGCTATGACTGACCTCCTATCTAGCTACTAAAGACAATAATACCATTCAATATAAATAATAATAACACTGCATATGACCATAGAATATCCTAATAACATAGAAAAAAGAACAGATATATCGAATATAGAAATCCCAGGGCGGAAAGAGACAAAAGGGTGTATTCGCCCCCTGTCATTACTAACATTAAGATTATAAGGACACTTAAAATCTACAATTTTATCACATGACAGGAGGCTTCATATTTGCAGTTTTAACGCTGAGAATTTAGAAAAGTGAAAGAAGCATGAAAAGACTGGCTGAAGTAAAACACACAAAACGTAGATTTCCGCAACCAGTACACGCATCGCATGATACTGTCACGATTACTATGTGACCCAACACGCAAAACTATATTAACACAAACAACGTAATCCTGGACTTTAGAATGGCTGGACTTAACGTAAAAGAGAATGGTCAACATAACAAGCCAAGGTCAGGGATACAGAATGAGACAATACGAATAAACTAGCCAAAGGTCAGGATACTAGAAGTAGGGAAAGTCAAACACATAATCCAAAGTCAAAAACCAGAAATACAATACCAAGAACGTGCTCTCTGACAACCAACAAATGGAAACCATGACAGGGTACTGAGAAAAGGCATTACAGGGTTTAAATATGCCTCTCGGTGCTGTGATTGGTTATTACATGGTCCTTGACCCCAAAACGTGCTTGTCAATAACGTGATGTCACATGCAGTGGTATATTTAGGATTTGTGCTGCCCTAGGCAAGATGGTGCTCGGGCACCCCCTTCCCAATTTAAATTTTTCTCACCCCTTTCTGTCAAGGCCGCACTTTGACTGACAGACACTCACTCACTGACAGACGCACACATTCACTGATAGATGCATACACTCATTAACAGACACACACTCTCATATACACTGACAAACAATTACATACACACACTCACTGATTTGACACACTGATAGACAAACATACACTTACTCGGACACACACTCACTGACAGACGCACACTCTCACTGACAGATGCATGCACTCACTGACAGATACATGCACTCACTGACCGACACACTCACACATTCACTGACAGACACACACTCACACTCATTGACATACACACTCACTGACAGATACACACACCCACAAATTCACTGACACACACACTCACTCACATTCACTGACACACACAGACTCACTGACAGATACACATTCACTCACATTCACTGACACACACTCACATTCACTGACACACACACACACACACAATTCCCCCCACGCACTATTATTAATTTTTTTTTTTAAATTGAAATCCACCCATCCTCCCTACTTTTGGGATAGCTGGGTGGATTTCTCTTCTGGGGTCCAGTGGGTCTGCTGGGCAGGGAGGTGGACGAATGTGCAGGCAGGCTGGCGGGCGTTCGGCGAGGGAGCACTTTCCCCTGAGAGGTCTGCTCAGCTCCCTCGCGTGCCGCAGAGTGATGCCGGGTGCCGGAATATGACGTCATAAATGGAGGAAGAATCTGATTTCGACTGACTTGTAATACAAAAGGAGTCGCCATCCACAGAAAATGAAACAAGGCACAAGAGCCTCGTAAGTTTTGCGGAAAGCTGTTGCAGAAATAAGCCCTAATTATCTGTCCAGAGAAAACACAGCACAACATTTGCTTCGGGGTCACTCATACAACCAGTGGATACCCCTGACAGGAGAGGTGCGGACAGAACTTTGTTGGTGGCTACTCCACATGCAAGCCTGGAACGGCCGAGTAATATTTGGGCTGACACCAGACTTCATAGCGGAATCAGATAACAGAATTTGGGGCTGGGGAGCCCACTGTGCAAACAACTCCACAGGGGGTCCCTGGTCGGAAATAGTGACCGATTTACACATAAACTGCTTGGAACTGATCGCTGGATCATTCGCAGTACACAGCCTGACCAAGGGACTTTCCGACTGTTGCATCCTGCTCCGCATGGACAACATCTCGGCGGTCCAATACATCAACCGCCTGGGCGGAGCCAGATCCCGGGCCTTGACGGAGGTGGCAAAAGACATATATGAATTTTGCCTTGTCCACAATATCACACTACAGGCAGAATACCTCCCAGGGATCACCACCCTCACGGCGGACTGGTTTTCACGCCACTGGCAAGATAACAGCGACTGGCACCTAGATGTCTTGCTGCACACTGATGGACTTCAGGGGTCCATTACACGTGGACCTGTATGCATCCAGAATGAACCGGCAACACCCATGGTTCTTCAGCTGGTTACTGGACCCGGATTCCGAGACAGTGGATGCTTTCCTGCAAATTTGGCCGGACAAGGGAGCCTATGCCTTCCCACCGTTCTTAATGCTGACGCTGGTGGTCCACTACATATGCCTTCACGGAGTGTCTCCCCTCCTAATCACTCCCCTGTGGCAGAGTCAAGTGTGGTTCCCGGACCTTCTGGAAATGTCGCACGATCATCCTCTTCGCCTGCCGTTGTTTCCATTTCTACTGACAGGCCTCAAGGAAAACCACACCCGCTGGTGTTGGAACGGAAACTGGAACTCATGGCTTGGTCACTTTCTGGGGAGCCTGGTTGGTCCACGGCTTATCGCAGGCATCTAGGGATCTCTTATGGGATTTGGGCACCAGGCACCAGACGATGCTACATGTCTGCTTGAAATCCGTGGAGTAATTTGTGTTTGAAGAGGGACTCTGATCCCTTTACAGCACCTATTACTTCCGTCCTAAACTATATGTCCCATCTTTTTTCTATGAGTCCCATGTACCGGTCGATTAATGTGGTGCGTTCAGCTATTTCAGTGGCTCATGTTCCCCTTCAAAGTATTCGGTTGGGGCAGGACCCTATGGTCTTGCACCTTCTGAGGGGGATCAAGTTGTCTAGGCCTCCCATACCTAAATATCTTGTCGGGACGTAGATTTTGTGCTGTGTTTTCTCTGGACAGATAATTAGGGCTTATTTCTGCAACAGCTTTCCGCAAAACTTACGAGGCTCTTGTGCCTTGTTTCATTTTCTGTGGATGGCGACTCCTTTTGTATTACAAGTCAGTCGAAATCAGATTCTTCCTCCATTTATGACGTCATATTCCGGCACCCGGCATCACTCTGCGGCACGCGAGGGAGCTGAGCAGACCTCTCAGGGGAAAGTGCTCCCTCGCCGAACGCCCGCCAGCCTGCCTGCACATTCGTCCACCTCCCTGCCCAGCAGACCCACTGGACCCCAGAAGAGAAATCCACCCAGCTATCCCAAAAGTAGGGAGGATGGGTGGATTTAACGCCCTTTTGTATTACAGATAATTAGGGCTTATTTCTGCAACAGCTTTCCGCAAAACTTACGAGGCTCTTGTGCCTTGTTTCATTTTCTGTGGATGGCGACTCCTTTTGTATTACAAGTCAGTCGAAATCAGATTCTTCCTCCATTTATGACGTGCCGCAGAGTGATGCCGGGTGCCGGAATATGACGTCATAAATGGAGGAAGAATCTGATTTCGACTGACTTGTAATAACGCTTTCCGCAAAACTTACGAGGCTCTTGTGCCTTGTTTCATTTTCTGTGGATGGCGACTCCTTTTGTATTACAAGTCAGATTCTTCCTCCATTTATGACGTCATATTCCGGCACCCGGCATCACTCTGCGGCACGCGAGGGAGCTGAGCAGACCTCTCAGGGGAAAGTGCTCCCTCGCCGAACGCCCGCCAGCCTGCCTGCACATTCGTCCACCTCCCTGCCCAGCAGACCCACTGGACCCCAGAAGAGAAATCCACCCAGCTATCCCAAAAGTAGGGAGGATGGGTGGATTTAACGCTGAGAATTTAGAAAAGTGAAAGAAGCATGAAAAGACTGGCTGAAGTAAAACACACAAAACGTAGATTTCCGCAACCAGTACACGCATCGCATGATACTGTCACGATTACTATGTGACCCAACACGCAAAATTATATTATTGCATCGCTCTGTAATGCGGATATGAGACCTACTATCCGGGGGATGAGTCGAGGAGGAACCATATCCACGCAAAGAATACGCCGAATCTCCTTTCGGATGGATGCTATCTTAGTCAAAGGATGCCTCGAGTCTATCTCGAAACCCATGAGGGGGAGAGAGCTGACTTTTGTCTGTTCACCACGAAGCCCAAAGACTCCAGAAAGTGAATGACAATGTTCATTTGTGAGCTCAGTCTGGATTCTGCATCGAAGAAGATTAGCAGGTCGTCCAGGTAGACAAGGCTACGGATGCCCCTGGATTGGAAATGGGCCATAATCAGCTTTGTGAAGCACCACAGAGCTGAACTGAGGCCGAAAGGCAGGAAAATAAATTGAGAACACAGATGACCCCATACGAACTTCATAAAGCAAAGACACGCAGACGCCACGGGTACCGACAGATACACGTCCTTGAGATCAAAAAGGGTGAACCAATCATTCGCCAGCAGGAAATCCCAGAGTAGGTGTATTCCTTCCATTTTGAAATGTCGGTAGACAACATAATCGTTGAGCCTGCGGAGGTTGATGACTGCCCAAAATTCTCCCGACCCAGTCGTCCGCTCCTTTAGCAAATAGAGAATGAATAGCTTTGTCTATGAGTATGCTGTGTTCTCATGACACATGCAACGGAGGTGTTTGGTCGACTTGTATATGAAAAGGGACAAACGGCAAGTGGTAACAGTAGTTATAGGCGTATTTAAGGAGGGACTCACCTGAAGGGAAGCATCCGCAACCTCTTCCTCTAGAGCCTCTCATCCGGTCTGTGCCTCGGTTGTACGAGGGTCTCAATGTATAGTTCGGATAGAAGGAGGGAAATTGTGAAAAGGACCTGGGTCCAGTGGACTAAATTCATCTGGTGGCTCAACCCCTCTGCTGACCAGCCCTTCCAAAAACACCCCTGAAGCCTTGCTTGAGTGAGGATTGTGCCTTGTTTAGTGTCGTGAACAGGTTGACATGTTGCTTTAATTCTGCTATAAAAGGTTCAACGAACCAAGGGTCCCAGCTCTTTGGGGCCCAAATCCAAGAGTTTTTAGTCCATCCTTAACAGTGCTGTCTTACTTCTCTCTATAAAGAGGACTGCATTCGCATTGCCCAGCATGCAGAAAGAGCACTGGGCCCATTCGCGAATGTCACTTGGGTGCAACTGCATGCCTTGCGAGAGGGCCAAAACCGCAATGTATACTATTGTCGCCAATGGGCCTGATAGATCCAACATCTTGTCTTGTGCAGACTTCAGTCCCTTCTCGATACCCTTCCTGGAGTTCCTACTAGCCCGGGATATGAAAACCACTACCGTGGTGTCAAACTCCGGAGTGTTAGCCACCTTGTCTGGAAGGAGGGGCGGGGGCTTTCCCACCTTGTCCAGTGGCCTGCGGAACCAATAGTGGATGAATTGTGCCAGATGATCCAGCAGTGTCCATTCAGACAGCCTCAGTATAGTGCTGAGATCGAACATGGGTACCCCCATTTCATCCAGAAAAAAACCTTCTCCAGTGGTCTTGGGCGGATGTGTGCCAGTATCCTTTTCTTGGTACTCGTCACCTAGCATAGTTTCAATCACGTACTTGGAGTCGGAGTGGGTTAGTTCTTGCCAGTCCTCCTCGTCGGTGGCAGATCCATCTGCACGCCACTCGTCCACCACGTCGAGATTCTGGTGAGGACCAATGTCGCACTCATCCGAGGCTTGAATTGGAGGAGGCACTGGTTCCACTCATTCAAAACGCTTGGACTTTTTCAACTGAGCTTTGCCCCTAGACTTGCTCCCTGTCGGGGACCTGGAACCCTTGCAGTGACGTTTGGGCCCTGTCTGACTCAGTGGAGCGTCAGATCCTGGGTGATATCAGAGTCCTATGGTCACAATTGTTGAGGTTGGGGCAGGACCCGTAATAGGGCCTATTTAACTGAGGCTGTGACAGCGGCGTTAATCATGGCCTAAATGTCCTGTGTTGGTGGAGGTGTGTCGCTCATGGTGACCAGTCTGCCTGTAAGAGGACAGCGACAATCAGTGGGAGCAGGATAAATGGAGATACACGCCAAGATGCCAGGCTCCTAGTACAACTGGGGCTCACCCAAGGATCGGCTGTACAGTGTAGCCGTCTATAATTATAGTGCCATGAAGAGGGGTTCACCCTCGAGGTGTACAAAAGGGGGGTTTCCCTTAAGTGTATGGGAGACGTGGTAGTCTCGGAATCATGGGGTAGATCCCCAGTTTAATTCCCTGTCCGGGGTGATATTGAGGGGTCAACCTCGTAATTGTTGCCAAGGTGATGTATCTTCTATGGGTTACCCTGGTTGCACGTCAAAGATCTACCTCCGTGGTCAGCAATAAAACAGGTGTACATATCATGTGTGATAGTTCTGCATGGTGTAATATGTATCTCCAGACAATCATAAAGGGATGTGGGATATCCCTGTAGGGAATATGCAGAACACCTGTGAGGATATCTGGGGGCTCACCCCATGTGGTGTGCCATGTGAACCAGAGGACACCCACATATAGCAACTCATGCAATCAGAATGGCCCAGTATATATGGCTGTTTAGCGCAATATATTCTCACATAACTATTACACCTCAGTGTATCTCAGACTGTTTGTCTGCAAGCATCATGGTCCCAGGCTACAGGTAGAGAAGAGAGCGGGAGCAGGCCCCAAGGAGGGTAGAGCAAAAAAGACCAAAACAGGGAACAGACTAGCAGAAAGGTAGTGGGGACAAGTTAACAAGAGCAACAAGATAAATATATAACATTCATAACAAAGAATCACATTAAAAACAGACAAATAACAGTAAACAGTCACAAGGACAAAATACTCTGACCTGTGTGCTGGAACAGCAAAGAAAGAGGAAGTGATGTGTGTGACAGGTCCTTTTGAATACCAACTGAAGTGTTTTTTTTATTGTTTTTTCTCTTGTGATCTGTGCTGCTGGGAGTTTCAGTAAAGAGAGTTATGCAAATATGAAGCCTCCTGTTATGTGATAAAAATTACTATAGTCTTTATCCATAGAATGGATGATATTTTGTTTGTTCCTTTGCAAACGCAAAAAAAGGAGAGAGGGCGACAGGGGGAGAAAGAGACGGAGAGTCAGTTCATAAAGTGTCCTTTAATACATGAGCAGATAAATTAATTAAGTGGGACTTTAAAATAAATGCTTATTCCATATACTGAGCAGAAAGTGTTATTTAGCAGCTGATCTGAGCAGAAAATACACATATTTGCTCTGAAATTTGTTCTGCAATGCAGCTTTTTCATCTGTTGACTGACTCTAGGGGCCTGGTATTAAAAACCGCGGTGAGCACCCAGATCCTACAATGGGTAATGGCATTATTGAACGGTGCTGTCAGGCAGGTGTCTACTTTTATCTAAAAGCAACATATTATTTAACTATTGTTTTATTTCAAAATCAAAAGTGTCATATTATTTAATGCATGGTTTTATACAGAAATAGAGACGTAGATTTTGACAGGAGATAAAAGCAAATTTGCTCATGAAATCTGCCAATTTCGTTTCTGAAAGCACAGGTTTTAGTTTTATTCATTGTTTCTATTCAGGATGGAATTGTGTCTAGTCCAAACTGTCTGCATTTCAACTACCACTGCTGGACAGATGTTCTGTGGATCTGCAAATCCCTCTGTAGGAAAAGTATTCCCTAAAATGTAATAAATAATAAGGCTAACATTAGCTAGGTTTTCATCTGCACTACTAATTATGGTTGAGAAATTGTTAGCGAAATGAGAAAATCGAAAGACAAACTTAAATTTCCATGTTGAAGGTGGTGCATG